ATGTGAACAATCGATTAGTTGCAACTATAGTTGGCAACTAATCGATTGGTAAAATATTTACCAACTCGGAACACTATTTTATAGTAATCGAAACTGGACAAGAAACTGTCCTTTCGTTTATTGAATACATGGTCTTTATATACATTTTATTTCTCTGCCACGTAGACATTGAAATTTCAAGGTTTACGTGAAAATTTGAAGGTATACACCGAAGGACTTCAAGGAACAGTCTTTGTGTAACCACGTATACGCGGATTTTTCGGTGTTGACATGATTCATCTGTTTTCCCTGCTACAAAGCCACTCATCATTACCATTTTAATATAAGTTATGAAATAGTCAAAGGGAATTAATCAATATACTAAAATTGGGCATTGTTACCAGAATGGATGGGGATTACTAGTAAACTATGTACATGCGGCAAAGTTACCGAATAAAATATGAGTTTAGAACAAAAATAAAGAAACTAAAAATTTAATTCGTTACACTATGAGCAAGACTAAGATTTACTATACATGCTGGTTGCGAAGCTTTAATTTTTGGCAATAATAATTGGTGAAAAGCTATCAATACAAAAAAGTTTTGTTATTATAAATTTTTATTTTAATAATGTAATAATTTATTTTTTAGTTTATTTTTTACTTACAAAATGACCTGACATGATTTACTCCAAATTCTTCTTGAATACCATCCTCAGTAAGCGAAAATGCTCTATTTTATTTTATTTTACTCATTATTTATTCGAATATTATTATAGTTACAAGTGAAACTTCAAGTGAAACAATAACACTGTTACTTACTTTGTAGTGATCCCGCGTTGTTAATTCTGACAAAAATGATCAATCAATTAGGATAAATAATAATCATAAATAATAGAACTTACAGAATGTGCAATGGTAAATTTCTAGCCAAAATTTTTTTGGCTCATTCTTTAACAGATTTCAATCTTTTTAGAACCAACTGCAAAAATTCAACATTTCGATTACCAGTCTCGGATTTGATTTTTTAACAGCTGTCTGAATTCTCTCGATATTACAACTTAATACGAACACATGTGCATTTTATTTGCCCAATTCTCTGATGTAATATATCCTATACCAGCATTTCCTCCCGTAACGACCGCAACCTAGTTATACACGTAATAGATAGTTAAAAAAATTTAATAGGCCGATATGTTTAATTAAACGAATGATAATAATATAATTACTTTTCCAGTCAAGTCGGGAATGTTATCAAAAGTAAAATGCTTTTTTTCAGAAGGTTTAACATTGTATCTGAATCTGCCATTTTTTTGAGAAATCAATCGAGTATAAAGAAGGCACATTTATAAGTTTTCGCTTCATGGGTAATACACTTGGTAATACAACTTCGGATATAATATGTTCTATATTGGTACACGGAAATAATTATAAATAGAAATTCTAGACAACGAACTTGAGATTAGTAATCAGAGAATAAACTTGGAATTAGTAATCAGAATGAACGAACTTAGAATTAGTAATCAGAATGAACGAACTTGGAATTAGTAATCAGAAAGAGTGAACTTGAAATTAGTAATCAGAATGAACGAACTTGAATTAGTAATCAGAAAGAGTGAACTTGAAATTAGTAATTATAGAGATAACGGTAACGATAACGCGAATTACGAAATCAAGATAAAATAAATTCAGAAATTGATAGTAAAAGAAGAAAAGATAGAAGTAAATGATTGTATTTGCTCGAAATAACGCCCCCAGATCATTAATTCGAGGCATGCAATCTAAAGAGAGTTAACAATTACCGTAATTGATCACATTCCATCATTTTTAAAATCCCTAATAAACCAATGAGTCTATTGCATGAATTTTGGTTTTTATACGGTGGATCTAGTATTAAGCAATATATGATGATTTGATTTATGTTGTAAACACACGGATCTCTTAATATTTTGGCCTATGTTATAGACCGGGTCTAATTTATATTATATGATATCTGGCATATGATCAATCACGGTAATTTAGGTAATTTAACCGAATACGAACCATAATCCTATTTCTAAAAAATCTTCGGCTAA